AGAAGGTGCGATACCGTGTCCACTTGCGGTGAGCGAGGAGCAAATCCTTGCAGATCCATCCCAAAAATAGGATAATTTCGAAGTGATCAACTAACCATGTAACAGAGGTTAAGCTATACACGATTTTCTAGAAGGAACGGATCCTGCTCTGAAGACAAAATCTACCTCAAATAGATGAAAATGTTCCGGGGCCTAAACATACAGTTTAGATATTATATCCTCACAACGTCGAAGTGACATATCAAATTTGTTACCTATATTTTTATTAATTCAGGCGTATTCCACTTGTATCATCCGGGCGATATTTGGTGAAACGTGGATCGTTGATCTGTCTGAACGAGAGGCGTTCCAAAAGACTTCTTCAGTCCAAACAACAGTTTCAGACCATTTATGTCTTTCTATTCAGTGATCTTATTATGCTTACCAAAAAGAAAGTGTAAGTTTTCTTATTACCAAGGAAGCTTATTACCCTCCATCATTTGATTTACCTCATATTAATGATGCTTGCTGGGATGCTTCTCACGCCGGACGCGACTGTATGCTAAACCATTCAGTCCTGTGCTGCTTTCAGTGATTTATAGTTTTGAACCAAAAACGCTATCATAACAATGGATATCAACTGCCGTTTGCTATTAATTTTTGATAATAAATAATTTATTATGAGTTTCTGGTAATATACGAAAAATACCGAAACCGCCCGGACAATCGGTGCGAGGACTTACGCCAGTGATTTATTGAAATGCTTCTACATACTGGACGCAGCTATGCCAGGACTTTCGTCCCTGGGTCTCGAATTGATACTCACTGTTTTGTTCGATACGTATATGCTATCTCTCCAAATATTTGTTTACTTTTTCGCAGGCACACCCACTAGAGAACCAGTAGTTGATTTTTGATAATATGCTTCTCGAAAATACAAAAAAAGTTTTATCAAAGAATTGTCAAAAATTATTTTTAATAAAATATATAAATTCTGCGCACTTCTTTATTTTATTATTAATCGAAATTATTTTATTATTAAAAAATCTTTGAAATTCAATCGTTTTTTCATCACATTTTTGTTTCAAAACTAATTACGGTAAATACATGTGCTATTTGGGATTTACTTGAACAGGTTTTCATGTTTTTGGTGCCATTCAGAGGTGTTAGAAAAGCTAGTACAGGAAAAATTACCTTATCGCTTATAAATGTTTTTCTTCGTTTCAGTAATGGAAATTACATATGCAAAGACTATTCGGCACGGCGCTTTGTTGATATTGAACCAGTCGAAATTGATGATCCTAAGGTTGCTAAATTTATAAATATTTGTAATTACTTTCATTGGTCGTGATTGGCCTGTTCAGCCTGACGCAGTGGCAAATAGCGCTGCTTTTATGCTTCGGTTCATTCAATACCGCAACCAATTTTTCTTTGATTACTTCATCCACATGAATAGTAAACCGGTGCTGAGAAATGTCGAGAATTCAAAGTCGCCAACAATTTGCTTGTAGGCAACCGTCGAGAAAGGGGGCCATCGATACTCGTGTTGGGGGACAGTTCTTGTTGGCACTTGCTAACATTCAGGATACTCGAGGCTCCTTTCCTCTCAGAGGAAACGAAATATGAGGGGGTTTTGACTTTTGACTGTCACTTTGGCCGTGCACTGAAATGAGTGAAATAAAAACAGTCTAAGCAACAAAAAAGCATTTTGTTTTAGCTGCATCATTAAAAGAGTAAATTCAAACGACTGTTAGCGGGGAGTAGACGTAACCTGGCGTTTTTGCCTTTTAGAGGCCACTTGGTGCTTGTCATATTGCGAGTTTTCAGTTACTACAATCCGTTATCGCTCATATTCCGATGAAGAAGCCGCATCTGTTTATTTGTACATTAATGCACAATGCCCGGGGTAAACAGGTGGAACTTCTACTGAATGCCGATTCGGAAACTGACCGTGAACGATGGCTATCGGCCTTGAGGCCGCCTGCTGTATGTTTGATTTTATTCGCAAACCAAAAAGTATCTTGCTCATTTGTCTTCGTGATATCGAAACTGTTCTAATGAGAAATGAATTTTTTCGACAAAAAAAAATTAAAATCAGACGGAAATGCGGTTATTAAGCACTTGAGTCAAATTATGGTCTGTTGTAGGTAATCTGCCTTCTCAGTCTCTGCCACCGAGCTGGTTTAATTTCAACTGCCTCCTTAATCTTTGCTCCTCCTCCAAAGGTGCGCTGCAGAACTAAAAGAGCACACTCGCAATCTTTACCACAGACCGCGCTGTACTTCCATTACATTCTCAATCTCTAATACTCCGTACTCCTTTACATTGCAGCAATGAAAGAGAAGCTGAGATTAAGAAAGCGATGAAAAACAGTGCAACTAGTGGTAGGGACTGAGAGGGTTTCATGAAAATACAGTGCTGGGTAACAGAGTTTTGGAGGGAGTTTTTACTACGGTAGTGGTTTGAGAGCCGATTAGAAAGCATCGTTGATATTTTCTGTGCTTGTCGTATTTACCTTAATACCTTAATTGTCATCTCATAGTTGTATGCTTCCGTGCTACGGATCCAGCTGACAACTTTGTTATTTATCCGTTTTGAGCTTTCTCATCCATGTAATTCTAAACAACAGTTGGCGATAAACCGTCTTGATGTAAACAGCTACAACACCATCGTTTTATCATCTCACTAACGGCTATGCAATGTTCATGCACAGAGGATGCATTTTTGTCAGTGAGTAACCAGTTAGGTCTGTGGCCATTGAATTCTACCGCTGTCTCTTTCTCGGAGCCTGTATGATTGCTAGCAATGCTTCATTTTCAGTGCAGCAATCCGGAAGAAAAAATTTACGCAGATTGGGATTGCCCGCAGGCTTTGGCAGTTCATCAGTACTGCGCTGAGCAGGAAGACGAGTTACAGCTGGAAAAAGGCGATCTCATCAACATACTTCGCAAAATGCCCGATGGTAAATGCACTTTCTCGATTTTGAACTGCAAAAACTAAGTGAGCATAAAATTATGTGCTGCAAATCAATTCACTTTTTAGCTTGTTTCCTTTCAAGAGGAAGCAATCAAGGTTGATTTTAGCAGTTAATAAGCGGTCATCCTGTAGTACAAATCAAGGAGGAAATAGTTTAACTGGCCCTTCAGCGAAATTATCCACTAAACTGAGTTTCAAGTGTTTCTGCATAGCCTATTTGGAGATTCGGACACGAAACTTGGGAAAAGCTGGCAACATGATCCAGAAGCTGCTCAAAAAATAGCATTGCTTGATATATCAGAATCAGTGTCTTCTCTGTGCTCGCTTTTATGAAAAGCGAAGACGTTCGGGCTACTCCTCAAGTAATAATAGCAATATTACCGGTAAGCCAGTAGCCTCCCTCTTTCAATGGTTGCTTAGAAGCAAATTATTAGCGCTCCCTGGCAAATGCGAGTATCAAATCGAATGAACGAATTACGAGGGGACTAGTATTGTTCCGTTGACGAAATCGAATCTTGACATATTTAACACTCATGAAATGAGCACAAAAAACCGACGGCTTGATAATCTAATACGAAACTGCCGGAGCTCCCAAATAATTCAGGGGAAATTTGAAGTTATTGCAGGAATCATGAATCTGAAGATTTTTCTCATCGATCTAGTGCCACAATTTCAGGTTGGTTCTATGGTGAACGAGTTCGTGACGGGTACGGTGGTTGGTTTCCGTCTTCTTACGTTCAGCAGGTTCATTGCTTGGAATTATTTCCTGAACTTTAGAACTTTTTAGAGTTTCTAGAATCTTTCACTAATTCTTCCAAAAAATGCGTCACGAAAATAACATACGTGATAT